TAATGAGTTATGGTGAAAGCTAAGTATATTTTGCATGTAGTAAGGTGGAATTAGCTAAAATGATTACTAAGGGTGTATTTAGTTGACAGGTTTAACTATAGAAATGGGTATCAAAGTCATTGTTATTGCTTAGGTAACATGTTTTTAGAACACTATTATGGATTTTGATTATCCCATTAATTGAAAAACTCATTCCCTAATAAAATAAGGGTTTCAATTCTATAATTCCTCCTCAGCCTAATCATTCTCATTCCACCCTACTACCAAACATGCAAAATACTTTCACCAAAAATCATTACCATTATCAAGTATTTGATACTCATTCCGTTCCGATTTACATGTACAAACCAAACACACCCTAATATTGTTGTTTGGTTATGTATAATCCTATAACGGGAATAAAGGTTTTAAAAATATAAGAACAAAAAATCAAGACAATTGATTATAATATAAAGACATCCAAAGCATTAATATGAACTAAAAAAATAAAAACAAAAATTTAAAAGTACTAATCCAAACTTAAAAATCAAGTTTGAAATGAAACCCTTATTTTATTATGAAATAAATTTTTGAATTAAAAAATAATCGAATAATCCCATAGTGCTCTAAAAAATTATCAATCAAACAATAAGAATGACTTTGATTTCTCCGGACCCTTACTCATGAATACAAAACCAATTTATGTATGAATTGTGTATACGTAAATGATTGGATGGCATCAACAATCTATTTTTACTGCTCCACCTGATGGGATTAGACTATTGAAGTTTGCTGATATTGCAAAGATTGTTTATTCCAGATACATGTAAGTGTGGTTTCGCGTTTTATTTTATTTTATTATTATTATTTTTTTGTGTGTGTAAAATACAGATTAAAATAAATGAAATTCCCACTAAACAATACTTAGGATAATTTTGTTGCTAAGCTTTTGATCGACATCTTCATTTAATATAGGAAGCGGTAGTATTAGTTGTCTTGCCTTTATTGGTTAGTGTGATTATTTAATCCATTTTTTAAGGGGAAATATCAACACGAATATTCCACGCGTGATGCGCATTGCCACGTTTTCCCCGTCCCGTATGTTACACAACAATCAATTAATTACCTAGCTAGTACTAATTGCTAATATTTAATTATGATTTGATTTGATTAAGAACCGTAATCTAATATATACCTACTACTTTTGATTAATTTTGATGTCATATGTTGTTGTTGTTGTTATTATTACTCCGTATTATTATTATTGTTGTGTTCAACATTTTTGTAAGTAAATTCTATTGAGATTTGAAGGTTCTTAGTTTAAGTCACTTAGACTACTTATTTTATCCTCTATAGATCAACTTTAATAATTGTTTTTTATAAGAATAAGTCTTGTATACAAAGTTTTACCGGGAAACGATCTCATATAATATTTACTTTTTATGGATATTCTTTTAAAAATTTAATCATGTTGAACAATGAACATGTAAAATTAATTAATTCTGGTCAACAATAAATTTGAAGTCCAAATTTAAGAGCCCTTCATCACTTATGTCTAGAAAACTAGCAGAGAAAATTATGATGTTTTTCAACCGGCCAAGCCTACAAATACTCAAATAGTTACACACTTATGGCCATGACAAGATCAAATCTGTATCTTCTTGCAAAAAAAAAATGTTTAATAAGATTCAAACCCTGTAACTACTAAATTAAAGTTCGACAAATTATTTGTTGTAGCTTACTTATGAAGTCTAAACTATAATATAATTTGTTTTTTACTGGACAATGATATTTTGATGGGCAGTAATCATGGTTTACTAAATCAATCAATCAATCTTTTCTTTCCTAACTACAACTAAACCTCACGTGGGTTTAATGAATTAATAAATATTTCTATGTGCCTAACTACAATGCAATTTGATTTTGATAGTTAATTGAATTTATGTTAATCATATATGGAATTTGAGAAAATTTTAAATTGTGGATATCATCATATTATATCAGGTATTATTATAAATGAGAAAATACTAGATTTAGTTCTACGAGTATTATAAAAAATGATAATTTTGGTTCACATGTTTAATTTCTACTAATTTACATCCACGATTATTGTTTTAGTATCAATTTTCATCAACGACTATTGTTTAATATCAAAATTCATCACGTCGATCAGCCCTTCGTTTAAGACATACCAAAATCTTAAATTTTAAGAGTATTTTCGTCATTTTTAACTTAAGATCCCAATTTGATCATGAATAAAGGGGCTCCCAATTCACAGTTCTCATCCTCATCCTACCTTAATTTGAGGAGGGGAATTGCAAATTGGGATCGATCTTAGGGCTTAAATATCTTTATTCATCCTCAAATTGGAATCTTAAGTTGAAAAAGATTAAAATACCCTTAAAATTTCAGATTTTGACATGTCTTAACTGGAATGGTGACCGGCGTGATGAAAATTGGTACTAAAACAATAGTTATGGACGAAAATTTGTAGGAATTAAACATGTGGACCACAACTGTTATTTTGTCATTTTATTGATTTTAAGTGTATGTTATTATCCGGTGGTGGGGTTATTTATTTATTTATTTATTTTTTGGTTGAAAATGTTTGGAAAAGTATAGAACATATACTACCTTGAAAAGATTCATGATTATTTTTAAAAGAGTAAATACCCAAAATGGTCCTTCGACTATAGCTAAATTCACAAATTGGTCCTCGACTTTTAATTTTAACCAATTAAGTCCTTAACTTTATATTTTTAACACGATTTGGTCCTCCGTCTATTTGACCGTTTGTTGACTGTGATTTTTGAGAATATATATGTAATTTCATGGTCTACCGTTGGTTTTTTAAGGTTCCGATTGCATTTCTAGACTGCATTGTAACATTTGAACCCACTGCCAAAAGCAATCTACCAAATCCTGTCGCCTTTCTTCATCCCCTCTTTGGATTCAATGTAATTGAGTTCGTACCAGAGCGAAGAGTTAAAAAAAGTGGGATGTTACATGGGCGATAGACTGTGTCACAACAGCGGATGAGGGTGGGCGTCAGTGAAATTACATATATATCTTCAGAGATCACGGTCAACAAATGGTCAAATAGACGGAGGACCAAATCGTGTTAAAATTGCAAAGTTAATGACTTAATTGGTTGAAATTGAAAATCGGGGACCAATTTATAAATTTATCTATAGTTAATGGACCATTTTGGATATTTACTCTTTTTTTAAAAAAGTGCATGTTATTATGTTAAACTAAAATCTTGAATATTAAGTGTCAATATTTTTATAACTTGGTGGCATAAATACGTAAGTAACCGATAGTGCACTAGGAAGCACCTTGTGCTCAATTGGCACTTGATGAATTATATGAATCGGGGAGTTCGGATTATACAACCCGAATATATGTTTGGATATAATAAATAAATAATAAAACAATAATAGGGGTAGAAATATTATATTAATTGAACGAATAGTGCTATTATAGAGGCTCATGACATGTAATAATAAGACAATTTGTGTAGGGAAGTTATAGATACTTGAACAGGACACCAGGGGGTGTTTTTATACCCCGGGCTCGCGGGAGGAGCCGCGGCCCGTGCTACGAGACTCGCTCCATGCGAGGACCCGGCCTTTGGCCGAGCTCGGAGCTCGGCCGAGCTCGGAGCTCGGCCGAGCTCATGGAAGTCGGCTCGACGGCGAGCCGACCCCGGAGCGGTTCGCCACGCATCGCGGGTGGTCCGTTGATCCGGGTCCGACCCGATTCGTATTGCTCCGGTCCGAACCCGCTTCGTATCGCTCCGCTCCGAACCCGCTCCGTGTTCCATCAACACTTATGTAACTTCTTGAGAGAAAGTTATAGGATCGATAGTTTTATATATATATATATATATATATATATATATATATATATATATATATATATATATATATATATTAGCTTCTCGAGAAGCTCGTTCCATGTCAATGTTTGATAACATTAATGAATGAAGTTTGTGTTTTTGTTTTCAAAAAGAATTTTTAAAAAATAGTTGTATATATTTATTCTTTTATATTCAACCTTAGACTTTTAAGTTTTAGTGTGAAACAAAAAGTAAAAGTGTTTTTAAAAAAAAATAGTAAAACCCTTTTTTATATAAATAAGATTCATTTTTTTATATTATCAAATATAACATATAATATACTTTTGATTTATGTAAAACTCGTACTTGCTACTTAAAGGTATGCTTCGATTAAACTGTATTTTTGACGTTTTGTAATTCTAACCGATAAAGAATTAAAATAAAATAAACCAGGTACTATTAAGTTGCTTATAGCTAACCTACTTGATTAAATCGAGAAAGTCAATAAGTAATTATCATGAGAACTCGAACCCTTCCTCTATAAGGTTCACTTGTAAATATTAAAATGGTAAATGCAAGCTGGATTCAAGAGGATCATAGCCCTCAATGCAACAATACTTTTACTCTGATCTACTGTAAAAAAGGGTATGTATGTATGTAGTGGTGGTTTTAGAGATGTGAAATGACATTGAGCCCCATGCAGCATCTGATGCCCATGACAACCAAAGCTTTTGTGAGCAAAAATGAGTAAAATACTAAAATATATGCTTGGGGGCCAAACACCCCCATGTTACCCACTTTCCTTCTCTCTCACATTATTTCTTTTATCTACCTTTCCATTCTTGATCTACTCCCTATTATTACACTCCGAACTACTAATGTAATTGTAAGATCAAAATAACGTAATTTTTCTGATGACGAATAAAATCTACAGTTACTATCTGGAGGGTGTTTATCACTCGGCCTTATGATCTTAGTTTGACAGAAGATCAGATAAATCAGTTTAGATTATTTATAACTGACTTGTAATCTTGTGGTTATTAGATTAACAATTTGACCGACTTGAATGAAAAGTGGGAATTCGAATAAAGAACCAATATTCTGCCTATCAGGTTTGAAAACAGTACAGTTACTGTTAGGATTACAAGGTGTGTTTGGGGATGAATATATTTAGAAAACACAACCATTATTGGTGCAGCAGAAACAGAATAAACTAATCTCTCCATACCTGACCTCTTTCCAAATAGAAAAGCCACTTCAATTCCCCCACTACGGCACTACTTATTCTCTCCATTTCTCCCATTTTCAACTCTTCCATCCCCTCCATCCAAAAAGCCCGGACCTTTCAGTCTTGGCCGGTGATCCGATCATAAAACAGCCCAGCCCGGAGCTCTGAAATGAAGATCCAGTGCGACGTGTGCAGTAAAGACGAGGCGGCTTTCTTCTGTGTTGCAGATGAGGCGGCGCTTTGCCACGCCTGTGACCACAAAGTCCACCATGCCAACAAGCTCGCAAGCAAGCACCAGAGGTTCACGCTTCACCACCCTTCTTCGGAACAGGCCCCTCTCTGTGATATCTGCAAGGTATATATATATATATATAAATCCATAAAGATCCAAACTTTCTGGATTTTTTCTTGATTTTTGGCTTGGGTTTAATGTTCATGTGTGATTTTGTTATCATAGGAGAGAAGGGCTTTCTTGTTTTGTCAACAAGACAGGGCTATTCTATGCAGAGAGTGTGATGGTCCTATACATAACGCCAACGAGCATACCCAGAAACACGATAGGTTTGTTCTAACTGGGGTGAAGATCTCTGCAACCTCGGCTGTCTACTCTTCATCATCCCCAGATTCTGGTGAATCTGTTCCCAGTTTAAGGTCTAAAGATTCCTCCTCAAACAAGGTTGTTGTGGCTTCTTCACCTACCGTTCCTGCCCCAATTTCAAAGACCACAAACAGTTATTCAAGTTCAAACCTGGTACCTCCAATGGCAGTAGCACAAGTTAATGATAAGAATGGTGGGGCAGATTGTTTGACTAGTAGCTTATCAGAGTACTTGGAGATGCTACCTGGGTACCATGTTGAAGAGCTTCTTGATTCATCTTATCCTGATGGTTTGTGTAAGGTTAGTATTAATATTAACAGTGGAATTTGAATTTCCTTATTGATTCATTTACAGCACACTTTATTCATCTGATTTTATGTTTGTGATGATTTATAGATGGGAGATAATGATGTGTTGCCATTTTGGGATACTGATCTTGAGAGCAGCCTCAGTTGTATGTCCTCAGAAAGGGCAGGTATTTGGGTCCCACAAGCCTCTCCTCATCATCATCAATTTCAACACAACCAGACCCAAACTCTCCCCTCTGCAACCATAGCCTTTGGTGCACAGATTGGGTTCAAAGACCCCAAAGCCAGCAGAAGATGGGCAGATGATAACTCTTTTGCAGTCCCACAGATCAGACCTTCTTCCACTACATTCAAGAGATCAAGAAATTTCTGGTAGTGAAGTCAGGAATAGATCAGAGTTGAAGAATCATTTTCTCTCTAACTTTTGTTTTTGGGTCTGTTTTGTTTTGTTCTTTATCAAGTCATCTGTTATTCCCCTCCTCCTCCCCCCATGTACTTGCCAGAAAGCAAGGATCTTTTTGTTTGTAAATATGTTTTGGTTCAATCCCATGATTGAATACATAACCTGAAATTCAGAGAATGTGTTCCGGAAGTTGAATCCAGTGACAGACCATCACAAGTCACATCCTAGTTTAACATAGTACACTCGAGCAATTGTATGCATGTTTGGTGAGGGAAAATCGTGTCATACGGTCTGATTTGCCAACAACCTTTTTTACATTATTTGCCTTTTGGTCTGAGAATAGCTGAATAGGACTAACTGACTGACTGGTTAGAGTGTGACATTGAAGATGATGATGATGGTGGCTGTGATCAGATAGGGTGGCCAGTCTGGCCATTTGGGTGTGTTTGGGTTATGCTTGGTTCCAGCTCAAAAATTCCTTTTGTGGGGCAACTAATTTTCATCCAACCAATTAGCTAGTCTAACTCATGACCTTATAAACTCATATATTCTCTCTTATTCTATCAATATCCCAAACAGATCTCGAGTCGAGTGGAGGGGACACTCCGTCTATCATCGTCGAGAATCTGTTGAAGAGGAAAGGGACGAACTTTGTCCACCTGCAGATCCCGATCTTGCTGGAGGACGAGCTTTGTTTTGTTCTCTATAAACATAATTTCTCATTATAATTACTTTAAAAAATTGCCATTGGGTGGATAGATAGATAAGGTATTGATTGAGGAGCATTAAAAGATAAGTTAAAATAATGCTTTGGAACATGTGGCAGCAGTATGCCCATTCTGTTCAAGAATGGAGGCTATCAGAGTCTGATCATTGTAGCTACAACCTTAAAGAAAACCCAGAAATTAAATCTGGCCAAAAGTACAATGTTGTTCTAGTATAATTCTAAGACTGCCTGTTTTGACTTTTGAAGCCTTTCAATTCACACTACTTTAGCATCACATTCAAAGGAAAAGTTTGAGATGTCATGGAGACCAGAAATGGAACAAACAAGGTTTGATGGAACATGTTACAGAGATGAGTTCCAGTCTTCAAGAAACATGTATGAACGTTGGCTTGAAACCGAGGCTTAAAAAACTTCGGCCACTTTGCTTGCAAGAACGCGCTCTCGTCTTTCCACATACCCGACAGGGAACCAACCCGCTTTCCCTTTGCACTCGCCTTCAGCCCAACCATTGTTTAGCACCTTCAATATCAAAGAACAAATCATTTAGGATTACTATCGACAAAATATTCATAAAGGTGGTGGACAACATGTTGCAAGTTGGAGAAAAGGAAAGATATATAGGTTTGCTCCTTGTGGCCCCTAAAGTGTAGAAACATGATACATAAATAAACCCGGGTTTTTCATGTTGCCAGGACAAACATCATAGGACGAAGAATAAAACTATCTATCACCCATAATTTTTCATGTTGACAGGACAAACATCATAGGACACAGAATAAAGCTATCTATCATCCATTTTAGGTTCCTTGGAACGCACTTGAGAGAAAGTGTAGGAAGCAAGTTGCAAGAATGGTATATATACCAACTTCACCACACACACAGTAAGTAACTCGAAGGAGAACAAAATGGAGAGAAAATAGTGGATATAATGACAAGAGAACAATACGAGGAATATACTAAAATCCACCGAATAAACAAGAGCTGATCAGACCTTCCGTACAACAATGTAGTCGCCAACTGACAAAGTGAGCTCTACATCTGATTCAGCTCGATAGGGATGCATGACCTGCAGAAAAGAAAAATAAGCAAAAGGACAAAGAGCAAAACAAAATTACTTCGTTAGCGTATCAAGAAAGCAAAAGATAAATCGACAGTTACCTCTCCCAAGAAGTAACTAGCCCCATCTGCTGATGTGTCATACGCTTGAGACGAAAATCCACTGATAGCTTCATTATATGGCAGTGGAGGAGGTGCAGCACTACTTGTGCGTCGATTGGGAACAGTTTCATTACCGTGACGCTCTGATAACATCTATTCACGGACAAGACATACATCATCATAGCGGTCCAACAAACAATAAACATGTGCTTCACTTAAGACAGACATCCTTAGCTACAAAAACATACTAAATAGACTGTACCTCTGCCTCGAGCTGATCGAGGATCTGAAGAACCCGTTGATGATAACTATATTCCGCCTCAACCTTGAGTGAAATATAAGTAAAAAGGGGTTTCAAAATTCAAGTATCAGTTTCTTAACTTGGCATGTGGAAGAAAACTTACCATGGCTATGAGTCGCTGAAGGGTCAATCTTTGTTGTTGAGCTTCGACAGCAGCCATTGCAGCAGAAGCTTCTTTCCCCAATGTACCCATATTTGACTTTAGTTCGTGAAGCTTTGTTTCTGCAGATTCCAACCTCGACATATAATCTGGATTGCCATTAGATTCCCTTGCTTTAGCTTGACGCCTGGAAACTTCAATAGCCTGGCCAGGCCGAAAGAAGGTAGGCATAACTACAGAACTTGACAATACTGCAAGTAGTTTGCTAATTACTTAAATTTAAAACAAACAGTACCAATAACGGAAATCAAGTAGGAAAATAAGCCTATCCGGCTATCCCAATTAAGAGAACCAATGGAGATCACCAAATTTCCGGTAGAACAAAATGCATTAAGTTAACACACACGATGGACTTCGGAAACTGACTTTTAATCCAAATGTTACCTGAGATTCAGCTTCCTGCCTCACTCTATCGTACCTCTGAGCAAGATGTCGAGCATCCTCCAAAGGAGCTCCCACAACCATTGCTCTTAAAGGCTCAGCAACCTGAAGTGGTGAAAAGAATCAAAACAGATTTACAATCCCGCTCACCAATTTTCACGACAAAAAGCAATTAAGGATAAGAATCTAGTATAAATTTCTAGAAGACTCGGGACAGCACAGACTACTAGTTGATGCTTATGATAAAACAAACGAATAAGAAGGTAACCTAGCAACTATCATGAAAGATTTGAAGGCAAAAATCGGTTCAATAACTGAATAAGATACGCTCAAACCTGCGTTCCAAATGCCTTGAGTAGATTATCTTGTTCCTTTTCAATTTGAGCCCGAGCTACGCTATAACTTAGTGCAGCTTTGGATAGTGTACTACTGGTGGTACAAGTGTTTTCACCTCCGTATTTTCTGGCATCTTCAGACAACTTGGTACCTGTAAAGAAAGTCGGACATACTATATTAGCAACTGTTACGATGTTAAATTTCACAATATCAGTAACTCACCAATTTCAATTTGCTTCGATCCAGTGACAATGTAACCTTCAACACCTCGAACGATATCCCTTTGGAAGTGCTGTCATCAGCAAATAGCATACACCAAACAAAAGCGGGAAAGAAAACAGGAATTAGTAAATTAAAGTAAAACCTAATTCAAGGAGAGAAAATAATACAGCGAACCTTTCCAGCACGAGTAGAAATATAGAGCTTCTCAAGTCTCTGATGCTGCTGCAGCTCTGCTTCATTAGTAACACCATTGTCTGAGCCTCCAAGCCCACCAGAAAACCTCTTGAAGACTTCCTAAAATGAAAATGATTAACTTCTTCTTCTTCTTCTATCTCACCTCTATTAAGTCTTGTTTAGATATGCTAAAAGAACACATTATACACCTTAATCCATCAAAATGGAAGGTTAACCAAAAAGCAGCATTCAGCGCTATCAAGACAGAACCTTTTTTTTTTTTTTTTTTTCTAATGAAAAATATAAAAGAATCGATTGGAATTAGGAAAAAAAAACGAAATTTGAACAGAATAATCCATAGCTAAGCTTCTTCAAAATCCAATTCAGGAACTGAAACTAGGGTTCATTGCCTATTCCTATACACATGCTTATACAAATTACATATATATATATATATATATATATACACACACACACGATCGCTTGTACCTGCTGTTGTTTGGCAACCTGTTCCCTGAGCTTCGTAGCTTGCTTCCTTATTGCGTCCATTTCATTCCCAAGAAGGAGAGAGAGAGAGAGAGAGAGAGCGGAGCTTTAGATTGTGTTTCAAAAATGTGTGAATTTCTATTGTCATTTTCAAAACTGAGTGGACTGTATACTTGAGATTCAACTGGTCTGAACAGTGATGGTCCCACCCAGTGGTGGGCCCTCTCAATATTTGCCATGATTTTTATTTTATTTTCTTCCTTTTTAGAATCAATTTCAAGATTTATTATGGCACTGAAATATACTAAACATTAACAATTGCTAGGTAATGAACCACTAATTTGCCCATTAGAGTATAATTTTTTATATTAGAAGATCACGAATTTAATTTTTATTATTACGTTATCAATCAACTGTTAATGTACTGATTGTAGATTTTTCTCGTTATTAAATTTATATGTATATAATATTTTCAAATACACCTACTTTGTATATAGTATGAATCAAGGAATGGTAGGGAGTATTTTATATAAAGTAGATGAATCTGGTAGCTGAAGTTTCCAATACAGAAGCGGAAAACAGGGAGGCAGATAGATGATGCACTAGCATCCTATAATGAGTGGTTATGATTTACCTGTCACGCTGTTTAATATTGTATTGGCAGTTTTTAATTGTATAGTTGCCAGTTTTCTTCAGTTGCTGTATTGGCAAGTTTGAAGGATCTGGGCAGTTTTTAATTGTATAGTTGCCAGTTTTCTTCAGTTGCTCTAGACAACTGTTGACTATTAGTTTGAAAGTTGCGACAACTGTTGACTATTAGTTTGAAAGTTGCCAACTTTTTATTCAAACATGGTTATTGCCGGACATGAACTGTTGCAGTGAGGTATCCATTGCTGGGAATTGAACCCAGGTCTCTGGAGAGAAAACAGAGTATTTTAACCAACTAGACTATAACAAAAACACATTATTTTTTTTTTTGAAGGAACAAAAACACATTATTAGGCGTTCCCAAATTGTAAACGTATACTGTAAATGAACTGTTGCAAAGAGAGTGCCTCGCCGGGAAAGAGCAAAAAAGAGTTCCGTTGCCGGGAATCGAACCCGGGTCTCTCGGGTGAGAGCCGAGTATCCTAACCGACTAGACTACAACGGAATCACGTTACTAAGTCTTCCCAAATTATAAACATTGGAAATCAACTGTTGCAAAAAACAGCAAAAAGGTTCCGTTTCCGGGAATCGAACCCGGGTCTCTC